AGCAGGAATCGTGAGTCCAACGGCTGCTAAATTTAAAAATGTACAAGTTGACAACTCTCAGCTTTTCCTTGGTATTTATGGATTGAGGCATTAAGGATCAGAGAATGCCACTCCCTCCAAAAAGATTCTTTGTATCCTTTCATGTCTCCTGTGCTTAGTAAATATGCCCTTCTGGCTACAACTGAGATCAGGAATTCATCACTTAAGGAATTGTACAGAAATCTTTAACCGTTTGCACATCCATTATCAGACACTGTGTACTTTGGTCTGAGGGAGATGCTGGTAACTCCTATCACCCTTTCCTTTGTTTTCAAAATCTAGGGAGTAATTTTGGATGAGGTTGTTGACTTGCTTGCCAAGCTGGCTTGTTCTTGTTCAGACATTTTGTCACCATACCAGATGACATCATCAGTGAGGCTTCCGATGAAACGATGTTGTTCTACTCCACTTGGAATTTATACTGTCTGGTTCGTTATGGTGAATTGTCACTTCTGGCTTTGATCTGTATGGGTTTGTATATGGGGTCCAATTCTATATGTCTGTTGATTGCATTATGGTACATCTTTGCTATGAACGAATATCTCTGCAACTTCATCCACAGGTGCCTAATAAACAGACGACAACAACAGGAGGACACATGACGCCCTAACACATTGGCCACACTGCCCTACATCAAGAACTGACAACGAGACTCCTAAGACCACTAGGAATCATATTAGCCCACAAGCCCACAGCCACTCTACGAGAAACGCTTACAAGGATTAAAAAAGCCCCATTCCCACAGCATGCAGAACTAAAGTCGTTTACAAAATACCACACTACGACTGCCACAAACATTACATCAGACAGGAAGGAAACTAGCCATCAGAATAAATGAACATCAGCTAGCAGCAAAACAGCACGACAAACTTTCCTTAATATCAGTACACTCAGAAAATGAAGGTCATCATTCTAACTGGGACAAGGTAACCATAGTAGCCCAAGCCAAACATAGACACGCATCGGAATTTCTAGAGGCACGGTTCTACACCCGTAATGCAATCAACAAACATATAGAATTGGACCCCATATACAAACCCATACAGATCAAAACTGGAAATGACACAACTCACTATAACGGATTAGACAGGATAAATTCCAAGCGGAGTAGAATAACACCGTTTCACTGGAGGCCTCACTGATGATGTCACATAGCATGGTGACGAGACGTCTGAACAAGAACAAGCCAGCTCGATGAGCAAGTCAACGACCTCACCCACAACCCAAGCTACAGATCTTTGCTAAAACGTTTTGGATTTTAGTGTTTAATGTCAAGTCAGGGGATGGAAATTTCCTGGATTTGTGATGGTGAGCCTATACAAAACACTGAGGAGGAAATATATGTGGAGAGATCTCCGATATGTGTAAGAATAATAAGGTTCTAATAATAGGGGATTTTAACTTTCCAAACATGGACTGAGACTGCAATAGAGTTAAGGGTTTGGATGGGGAGGAATTGGTTGAATGAGTTCAAGAAAACTTCCTTTATCAATGTATAGATGTACCTATGAGAGAAGGAACAAAACCTGACCTTTTCTTGGAAATAAGGCAGAACGAGTGACTGATGTATCACTGGCGGAGCACTTTGGATCCAGTGATCATAGTTCTATTAGTTTTAAAATATGATAGGCCATGTATAAAAGTTAAAGTTCTAAAATTGGAGTAAGGCCAATTTTGACAGTATGAGACAAGAACTTTCAAAAGTTGACTGTGGGAGGCTGTTCGCAGGTAAAGGGACAACAAGCAAGTTGGGAGGATTTCAAAAGTGAGATGATAAGAGTTCAGAGACAGTATTTTCCTGTTAAAGTGAAAGGTAAGGCTGGTAGGAGTGAGGAACAATGGATGAATAGAAATATTGAGGCTCTGGTCAAGAATGAGGAGGAAACACGTATGAGGTATAGACAATTGGGATCAAGTGACTCTCTTGTAAAAGAGGACAAGGGTAGTAGAGGCATTCTTGAGAGGGAAATCAGGAGGGCAAAAAGGGACGTAAGATATCCTTGGCAGATGAGGTTAAGGATAATCCAAAGAAATTCTGCAACTACATTAAGGGCAAAAGAGCAACTAGGAGAGAATAGGGCCCCTTAAAAATCAACAAGGTCGTCTATGGGTGGAACCATGGAAGATGGGAGAAATACTAAATGTAAGTTTCACATTAGTATTTACTGTGCCGAATGACATGGAAGCTAGGGAACTTGGGGGAAATAAACATTGAGGTTTTGAAAACACTCTACAGTACGGAAGAGGAGGTACTAGACGTCTTAAAAAGTTTAAAGGAATATAAGTCTCCAGGACCTGATCAAGTGTATCCCAGGACATTGTGGAAAGCTAGGAAAGAAATTGCATAGCCCCTAGCAGAAATATTTGTAACCTCTACAGCCACAAGTGATGTTCTAGAAGATTGGAGGGTGGCTAATGTTGTGCCTTTATTTAAAGGCTGCATGGAGAACCCCAGGGTGTATAGACTAGTGAGTCTGACATCAGTAATGGGTAAGTTGTTAGAGGAGATTCTGAATGACAAGATTTACATGCGCTTGAAGAGCAAGGATTGATTAGGGATAGTCAGCATGGCTTTGTGCATGGGAAATAGTATCTCATAAACTTGATTTTTTTTTGATGATGTAAACAAGAATAGATAGATGAGGGCAGAGTGGTAGATGTTGTCTACATGGACTTTACTAAGGCCTTTGACAAGGTTCCACTTGGTATACCGATTAGTAAAGTTAGGCCACATGGGATTCAAGGGGAGAAACCGTCAATTGAATACAAAATAGGCTTGATGGTAGAAGATGAAGGGTGGTGGTAAAGGGTTGTTTTTCGGACTGGAGGCCTGTGACCAGCAGTGTTCCACAGTGATCAGTGCTGGATTCACTGTTGTTTGTCATTTATATAAACAATTTGGATGAGAGTTTAGGAAACGTGGTTTATAAATTTGCGGATGACACCAAAATTGGTAGCATAGTAGGCAGTGAAGGAGGTTATCTAAAGATTGCAGAGGAGTGGCAGATGGAGCTTATTTTAGATAAATGTAAGGTATTGATAAGACAAACTAGGGTAGGACTTACACAGTTAATGGTGATGAGAAGTGTTGTCAAACAGAGACCTAGGGGTTCAGGTCCATAGTTCCTTGAAAGTGGCATCACACTTAAAAAAAGGTGGTGAAGGCGGCATTTGGCACGCTTGCCTTCATTGCTCAGTCCATGGAGTGTAGCAGTTAGGATGTCATGTTGCAGTGGTGAGTCCATTTATGGAGTACTATGTACAGTTCAGGTCACTCTGCTATAGGAAGGATATTGTTAAATTGGAGAAGGTGCAGAAAAGATTTATAAGAATGTTATTGGGACTGGAGGGTTTGAGTTAAAAGGAGGTGCTGGATAAGCTCCACTGGAGGTAGGAGATTGAGTGACCTTGTAGAGGTTTATAAAATCATGACGCAAATAGGTAAGGTGAATAGCAAAGGTTCTTTCCCCAAGTGTTGGGGAGTTCAAAACTAGATGGCATAATTTTAAGATGAGACAGATTTCAAAGGGACCTGAGGGGCAACATTTTCATACAGGGGGTGGTTCATATGTGGAATGAACTGCCAGAAGAAGTGGTAGATGCAGGTACAGTTACAATAATTAAAAGGCATTTGGACAGGTACATGAATAGGAAATGTTTAGAGGGATATGGGACATACACGGGCAAGTGGAAGTAGTTTAGTTTGGAGACTTGATTGGTATTGACGAGTTGGACCAAAGGATCTCTCTGCCAGCATTTTGCCAGCTGACAGAGCACACCCTCCACATCCAGAGGCCACTGCGCCCATGAATGCAGCCTCCTTGTAGCAGAGCTATGAAGTCTTTAATCCAGAGTCTAGAAAGAAAGCCTCCTGTAGGAAAAGCAGCACCTGCAGCCCAAGCACCTGTTGATGTGGGAGTTTCGTCTCCAATTTGATGGGCCTACTGGCTTAATCACTCTGAAATTTTGAAGTTTTGTCTCTGATGGTGCTATCTGGTTGAGGTTCATTCATAACCTGTGAAGTAGACCAATTATGAGGCTGCCTTCTGGCATGTGCAGACTAGACCAGTACCCGGTCAAGCGCTGGTAGTATGCAGTTACCTGCACAATTGCCCCAACTATGTTGGACAGAGAGAAATTGGCACTGTTTTGCTGATGGAGAGCTGGATGTCCTGGTGGATAGAGGGGTGTGTACGTTCACAGCCCATGGATTGTGTCCTGAGATTTTGGTGTCAAGTGTCCAAGATAGAGGCCAAGGTGAGCGGGCGGCAAGTTCGTCCCACCAGGTGACCGCTCTGACTTTGATGTCAGGAATTGTCATCATCTGGTTTCTATCTGGCCTCTTGAATGGGCAACTGCATCTCAGTAAGGCATGATGACACCATAATGAGGATGCTTATGTAAACTAAAGTGTAAATAGGTTTCTCATATCTCACCTAGGGGGGATCCCATCTGACTATTCAACACTTGGTTAGAAAATTGGACATTTTGCTTTTGCCATCAGAAAACTCCTTTTAACCAATGTCATGTGATTCTTCCAACTTTGTCACCAGTACCTGGAAAATTCTTCTGTGTGTTTTTATTGTATTTGTCACTGAAGCAATTTAGCTTTGAAAATTGTGAAACTAAGTCAGTCAATTGCTGAATTGTGGGACCAGGATGGTTCATGTATGCACCAATATACACACCTAGCAGAGAAATATATGAACCAGAGCCATGCAGACGTATATTTAGTGTGTGTTGTTACATATCCACATAACTGGAACTATTTACGTAAATTCTTCATTTTATTGTAAATATTTGCGTCAGATCTTCTATGGAGGAGATAGGGAAATAGTAATTCAGGAATTATCTGCTAAATTTGGTGTGTGTTTGGATAATGGGCTCAGGATTCATTGAGTTTCAGTGCCTTGCTTTATGATTTTTTTTGTAGGTAGTTTTATTTTCCATCTCTCTTACAGTTTGCTGGAACTTTATCAGACGGATTGGGAAAGACAATGGACACAAGACATCAGGCTGAGCGTGAATCTATCCGCTATCAAGCAGTGACCAGCGGTGAGCACCTTGTGGCTGGAATTCAGGGCCTGGCTCATGGTGAGTATGTGGAAGAGGCAATTATAGTTCCCTTTACTGGTGTAAGCAATTAAAGATTCTGAATTAATAACGGCTAAAATATAGAACTGCTTCTGTGTATTCTGTCCAACTGTGGACATGTCATTTTCTCGGATGTATTTTACCATTCCTATGGCTTTTGAGATGAATTTTGTTTTTCACAATGGAACCTTTCATTGATCGTAGCCTGCTCTGCAGCTGAATTTTTAACATTAGAGTTGTCATGCTCCATAATGATTGAATTTCAATGTAATGCATTTCAGATGTCCTGTCCTCAGAGACAGAAGTTCTTTGTAAGCAGAAAGACCATTTTTCCTCATTTATTCCCCCTCCACGCACACTTCAGAATATTTGTCATTGCACAGTGGAAAATCACTTAGAATACTGACTGTTAAAATTGCAGCCTATCTGTTTTAATCTTTGCCTGTCAAAAGATCAGATCTTTTCTCAAATCTGAGGTTTGTTTGTTGTGCTGCCTTGCATAGACTTCAGCAACAAAATCGATTCCTTGCTGTTTTAATTTTACTACATAATAGTTTTTGAATTCCCTTCATCGGGAAATGGTTTTTGGTTTCTGTTTTATTCACCATTTTAAAAAATGTTTTGCATGATTGCAGCCATTTTAGTTCCAGGGACCTTTCCTCGTCCCATCAATAGGTACTGCAAAATCTGTAACAAATGCTGTGTAACCATAGCTTTGTGGCTTCTGTCACCGTGAAATATCTCTGCATATGATGGCTGTGGCAAACTTGAATAAAAGTTTCATCAACTTGAGCAACAGAAGTAAATCTCCTCCACCGGTATATTGTGCATTTGTAGAGAGATGTAGGGATCTAGTGGTCCCCTAAATTTCTCCTCCGTGTTTTTCTGCTGTTTCTCATCGCCATGCAATCCCTTCAGAACATAACCTGAAAATACTGCCAACACCATGCTGTACCTTACCATCACTGCTCTTAACTACCACATTGTCTGTAAGTTGTCGCGTAGCTTGTCCAACATTCAATTATGGAATAGCTGAAATTCCCACCAACTAAGTATTGTGAAGACCCAAATCCAATGTCTTTGGTCGTGGCACAAACTTTTTTTCTCTAGCCATAAGAATATAAGATTTAGGAGCAGAATTCAGCCATTTGGCCCATCGAGTCTGCACTGCTCATGGCTAATATGTTTCTCAAACCCATTCTCCTGACTTCTCCCCATAACTTTTGATCCCCTCACTGATTTTAAAAAAAACTCTCTCTGTCTTTACTGACTTGACTCCACAGCCTTCTGTGGCAATGGGTTCCACAGGTTCACCACCTTCTGGCTGAAGAAATTCCTGCTCATCTCAGTTCTAAAGGGTCATGCCTTCACGCTGACGCTGTGCCCTCAGGTCCTAATCTCTCCTTCTAGAGGAAACATCTTCTCCATGTCCACTCTATCCAGGCCTTTCAGTTTTCTGTAACTTTCGATCAGATCCCCCTCATACTTCTAAACCACATTGAATATAGACCCCAGGGTCCTCAAACACTCCGCATATCACAAACCCTTCATCCCTGGGATCATTCTTGTAACCTTGCGCTTCCACATATTGTATTCCATCTAATATTCTTGGCCCACTCTCCTAGCCTGTCCAAGTCCTTCTGCAGCCGCCTCCCCAACGTTACCGATCCCTCCACCTATCTTTGTGTCATCTGCAAACTTAGCAAAAATGCGCTCATTTCCTTCATCTAGATCCTTAATATATAACATGAAAAGCTGTCCCAACACTGACCCCTGCAAAACTCCACTAGTCACTGGCCACCATCCTGAAAAAGACTCCTTTGACCCCACTGTCTGCCTTCTGCCAGTCAGCCAATTCTCTATCTATGCCAGTAACTTGTCCCCAACACCATGGCCTCTTATCTTATTTAGCAGCCTCCCATGCGGCCCCTTGTCAAAGACCTTTTGGAAATTCAAATTGACCACGTCCACTGGCTCTCCTTTGTCTAGCTTACTCTTGTTACCTCCACAAAGATATCTAACACATTTGTCAGGCATGACCTCCCCTTGACAAAACCGTGTAATTTTACCAGGCGATTCCAAATATTCCACAATCTCATCCTTACTAATGGACTCTCAAATCTTATCAGCAACTGAAGTCAGGCTAACTAGTCTATAATTTCCGGTCTTCTGCCTCCTCCCTTCTTAAACAGGGTGTCACGGTAGCCGTTTTCCACTCCTCTGGGAACCTCCCTGACTGCAGTGATTCCTGAAAAATTATCCCTCTCCTTGGCAACTGTCTGAGGCTGTTTACAAATTTGATATAATACTTGACCTTGAGATGAACCTTTAACCACATAGTCATGCCATCACTAATTCTGCCTCTTTCCACCTCCGTGACATTGCAGATTCCATTCTTGCTTCCATTCATCTACAAACTAAGTTCATCTTTTTCCACCTCGTATGATATTGTTACCTCTAGTCTTGATTGTTCCAACATACATTTAACTTGCATCCACATTGTAAACTCTATAAACTTGAGACCATGCAAAACTGCTACCAATATCCTAACTTGCACCAAGTCTCATTCATTCATCACTCCTATGTTCACCACCCCACATTTGCACCTACTTAAGCAGGGCCTCATTTCTAACCTTATTCCCAGTCTTGTTTTCAGACCACTTGCATGTTTTGTCCCTCTCTGTCTTTCTAATCTCCTTCAGCCACTCAGCCTTCTAAGATCTCAATGTTGCTTCATATATAGCCTCTTGAACAACTCCAGTTCTAATTCCTCCTTTGATGACAGTGCCTTAAGGCTGCTAGGGCTCTGGTGTCTACTATTCCCTTTCTAAATTTGTCTGCCTTCCTGTCTTTCCTAGGAACCTTATGCTTTTATACAAGGTTTTTGCCTCCTGCCCTGATATCTCCCTTTGTGGTTTCACACTGAATTCCGTTTTGTAACCAACTGTGAAGTACACTGACAATAGTTGTTATGTAAAATTCAACTTATTTTTATACACAGTACTCTCTTAATTTTTCCTAGGATAAATTATTGTCAGATCTACAGTGTAGCAAAATCTGAATTCTCCACTGACATCACTACAAAATATTGATTTTTTTTTTAAATGCAAACCGGATAGAGATAGGAAGGGGAAACTAGTTTGTTTTCATGTTCGTTTTCAGATTATGCTTTCTGAAAATCATTCTGTCTCAGGGAGACTAGTGACTAGATTTTGTAATACATATTTCTTGTCCACCTCCCACAGGTATACTTGGTGGATTCACCAGTGTCATCACTTCAACAGTAGAAGGAGTGAAAACAGATGGTGGCGTCAGTGGTTTTTTCTCAGGCCTTGGAAAAGGACTCGTCGGCACAGTAACCAAACCTGTAGCAGGTGCTCTGGACTTTGCTTCAGAGACAGCACAGGCTGTGCGGGAAACCACAACAGTAAGCAACTACAGGTAAAGGAGAAAGCACTGCATACAGTTACACAGGGGTGTGTATTAAATATGAGGATTTCTTTTTGACCTTTAACAAACACTCATTATATTTTTATTGTTTCTGATGCAAAGCACAATATTCAGAAGTTTAAACAAAAAGCATCTAATAGGCAAACAGATTGGGCCCTTTGAGATTTTCTGGTTCATCCTTGCAACTCAAGTAGGCAAATAGGATTATGGCTTGAATTGTGACATTCACAAGGTTGTTGGTGAAAAATTGCTGATTATCTTTACATTAATAATTAATGCTCCCATTCAGGAGACAGAAAAGCAACTGAAAAGATAGTAATAACCCAGCATCTGTGGGGAGGCGATGGCCTAGTGGTATTATCACCGGACTGTTAATCCAGAGACCCAGATAATGTTCTGGGGACCCAGGTTCAAATCCTGCTATGACAGATGGTGGAAATTGAATTCAATAAAAAATATCTGGAATTAAGAATCTAATGATGACCACTGTTGATTGTCGGGAAAATCCCAGCTGGTTCACTAATGTCCTTTAAGGAAGGAAACTGCCATCCTTACCTGGTCTGGCCTACATGTGACTCCAGATCCACAGCAATGTGGCTGCCTCTTAAGTGCCCTCTGGGCAATTAGGGATGGGCAATAAATACTGCCTAGCTAGAGACACCCTCATCCTGTGAATGAATAAAAAAAATTTTAAAAAGCATCTGCAGTTCTTGCTATCTCTGAAAAGGTAGTAAGCTTTATTTTAAGCAGTAGTCTTCAGGTAATCCAGTTTGACATATAGAAATTTCTGGACAACCCTTACATAAGACTCCAGAACAAAAGCAGATGATCCTGGAAAAGCTCAGCAGGTCTGGCAGCATCTGTGAAGAAAAAATCAGAGTTAACATTTCTGGTCCGGTGACCCTTCCTTACATAAGACTGCCAGTTTGAAGACAGAATGGATCTTAAATATTCTTTATATAAAATGTTATGTTTCTATACTGGAACTTAAATGTTATAACTTGTAAGTCACGACCTTTGAAGTAATCTGGCACATATCAGATTTCAATGCTCAGGATACCTTGTAGGATATATTTGTGATGTACAGTAAGATTTTGTAAGTACAAGTGCTAATACAGATGTTTGGGGAAGGGCTAATGCTACATGCCCAGATTGTTAATACTACTTGTACAAGTTATTTATAGTATATATACTGGGCATACTAAGACTGCATGTGTGTTCAGATATATGAAGAGAATGTGATATTATAGAAATGGGCTGTCTTACTGCAATTGGAGAGTGTACTATTAGAGTCCGAAAAAAGTGACAATAAGGGACATAGTAATACAGTATAAACAGGGATTGCTAATATTGCATGTCCCTGTTCAGGTGTGTTAAAAACACAAAATTGTTTCTTTGTTGTATATGTGCTACCAGCAAAGCAAAAGCTGAACAAGACAAAACAAAAAACCCTTTATTGAGAAAGCTGGCATGATTAAGAGGGTGTTGCAATGTTTCAAAGTGTCCCAGGGTTCAGATGACCTTGATAAAACTCTTCGGCTTTATTTTCCACGGTAGCCAAGTGCTTTGTTGTCCCAAATTACCTAGTATTGTTGCTACCAATGGGAATTATTGTGTAAAATTGCGATACTCTGAGCAGTTTGCAGTAGTTATAATTATTGGTGAGATTTTTCTCGTGATGTTACATTGCATTGAACACTTTCCCTACTCATGCTGACTCAGTTGAATTTTGTCAATAATTTGCATGTTTTGCAATGGTTCTCATATGTATAGAGTGGTAACATTGCAGTCTGAATTATCCTACCATTAACACAATCCAAATACATATAATCTAAACTATCTGAATCAAATGCAGCCCTTGATGTACTGCATTTTGTTTGTCAAGCCATAACCCATACCTCTCAAATTTACAGACTGTAAAAGCAGCAAAATACTTCAAGGAGCAAGCTTATTCGATTTTACAGTTTTTTTTTAGTATGAGGCTCTTCAATGTTGCAAGACTTTATCTGGCAATTTGGTCATTCTCTGTAATGGTCAGTATGAAGACTTTGGAAGAATTGGAGAATTAGAAATTCAGGCCAGTTTGAGTAGTATCAAAATATCTTCAAATCTGCACATAATACAAATGTTCATGAAGTCTACTCTAACCAACCATAATAACTATTATGAAGAACTTCATCAAGTTGCTGCATCTCAACCACTTTACATAATTAATTGTTTTTGAACTGCAGTGACTAATATCTGGGGAAGCATGTGAAACTGCAGTAAGATAAGCCACTATTGCATCAGTGTACTTTTATTGGTGGCGACGGCCGAATGGTGCAGTGGGGATTTGTTGGCTGGCACTTGAAACAATTGTTGCCCTTGAACAAATGCTATGGGATCTTTGTATTCTATCTGAACAGCTTGAACATCTGTCCTGACTGAGAAACAGCAGAGTTACCAGTTCAACCTGGAGACTGTTCATGACACTTCACATAAACGGTTAATTAATGCCTGCACGTCACAGAGGGCAGGGAGTTATTTTTACGACTGTATATAAACTGTAAGCAGAGGAATGTTTAACAGAGTTGGGTAGTCAAGCATTTTTTGTGTAATCAAGGTTGGCATTAGAAGCTTGTGGCCAAAGGCAAATATTTGATCTTTGGGCCCCCAACCAAGGCAACTGATTAAATCAAAACAGAAAACTGTAAATGAAAACCGAAACCTGATTACAAACCATGTGGAACTACTTGTAAGGATCAAAACTTAATCCCAAGAGCTCATAACACAAAAGCATGCTGAGTCACCAACCAACCGTGATGCTGGATTTGTTTTCTTCCTCAAGCACCAGTTTAAAAAAAAGCCACTCTGTTATCTCTGTAGATAAAATTTCCCATGTATTAACATATGAATCCATATGTTATTCCAAAAATATGCAGTCCGTGCGTCCATAACTGCAAAGAGATTATATTGTGGATCCACATTCAGCATGTGTCAAAACCATGCTAAGTGTGCCTCATTTACACTGGGGTGAATCCCAAAGCGTTAGCAGTTAGAAAAAGTCAAAAGAAATATGGAAATTATGCCACTGCTGATGACAACTGGTCCACCAAGTGTTTAAAAGTTTTCAATTTAGTAAGAATCAATCATGCTGCAAGTTAGAGAGTTGCCCTTAAATTTTTTGCGTATGTTATTGACTAATGAGGTAGTTAATTTCAGCATATGTTGTAGATAGCACTGAATAGGAGATGAATGAAGATTAAAACCAGCTTGTTTTAAATGTGTGTTAGTCATTGTAATGTGTAAAAGCCTTATTGAAAAACATCTGCAAATTAAAAAAAATGATTTTGATTCTTGTGCACTGGTGCTAGTTCCCCAGGCTGTTTGACCTGTTTTTTACTTTTGTTTGGTTTTATTTCTCTGTAGTAGTTGGTCTTTATTCATATCCCACATATTGCTTACAGGACCAGGTTTACATGGTGGTGACTGAGAGATCATAGACGCTTGGCAGCGCTATGATCTCTTTGAACTATTCACGGTCATATACTTCCTTGCCTGAAAATAGACCTAAGGGATTTAAGCTGAATGGACAACATTGTTAATTGGCACCATTTGGTAGTGTGTTTGGATTTATGACAGCTGTAAATTCTAAAACATTCCCTCCCCAACAAAAGAAAAAAAAGAGCAGTTTGTAGCTGTGTGCAATGCAATGTATTTTTTTTATCAAACTGGTTTTGTTTCGTGATGCACTTTTTAACTTTGCCTCTTCCAGACCTCAAGGCTCACCTCTTATTGTGTGTTTCATGCTCATTTCTGAACGAGGTTCACTTTCAATGTCCTGAAGTCATCTTATTAAGTAAAACTTTCTGCTGAAGCAAGTCTGCCAACACTCCTTTAATAGCAAACAGTGAATTTGGTGAAGTGTGACTGAGTTCCAGAAAGTCAGTAGAATGTGAAGTGGCCTTTAGTGCATTGTTTAACAGGATGCTTCAAAGCTCATAATGCACACAAGGGTTTAAGCAGGAAGTTTCAATTGTAACCAGAATGACTGATGACTTTAGTGTGTGTTTTACAAGCAAAACCAGATTTTTCAAACCTTATTATTGCGTATTTTCTGAGTCCAAGTGTCCATTCCAGCATTGCGGTTTGAACTTATTTGGTTCCTCTTGAGTCCTCTGAACGCTTGGCTGTGCATGAATATTTGAATGCAGGCTGAGCAATGGCTCGACATTGTAAAGGTCAGCAGACTGGATCTGTATCATTGTTCTGTGTCAGACAGATATGAAACTTGCCAAAGCATTTTCTAAATAGAGTTCAATTTTTAAACTTACAACTGTAAGTGAGCACACATCTAGATTTTCTGTTTTGATCAATAATACTGTCCTGTGCAGTCTATCCCTGAATCTTTCTCTTGCATACTTCCTCAGTTGCAGTAATTAACTTATTAGTTCAAAGATGTGGGCGTTGCTGGCTAGGTCAGCATTTATTGCCCATCCCTAACGGTCCAGAGGGCAGTTAAGAGTCAGTCAGTTCACATGCTCCTCTCTCAAGTCTTAAATGTTCACCCTGTCATCTTTTCCCCAATCCTCAAACTGTACAACTTATTACCTCTCTCCGACTGCTTAGATATGAGCACTGAGATGGAGATTTTGCTTTCCAATTCTGTCACTGTAATGCTGGCATTGGCATAGTCAATGTGACTGATAAGTTCTACTTTCATTTAAAGAAGTTTTTCCCAGATACCTCAATGAACCTGGTAGATTTACACTCACATTGTCATTGGCTGTCTGACACATAGGAACTAGGAACTAGGAATTAGGTACCCAAATATTTTCAACAGGCAGCTTTTTTCTTTACATTTCTGGAAACCCAAGATTAGCAATTCCAATCATTACTATTATTTGATCAGCCAAGTTTTGCCCTTCCCACCCCTGTTATCTTCCAGTAGGAGCCTTAACCCTTTATCATTGGAAACTTTTATGGTAATACCAGCATTCCCAGACTAGCTT